AAGAAGAAGAAGAAGAAGAAGAAGAAGAAATGGTGCTAATAATGTTTTCTGCTGTCCTTTTCCTCATATCCTGAGTTTTGTATTGTTTTAATGATTGTTCTGGATCCAATGAATAGAATAAAAAAATATGGCTAGAGCTTTAAAATTATTTAGACTAGTGATTTTTAAGCATTGCACTTGGAGCGTATGTCAGGGACTTATAAAATATAGGTTGTTGCAGTGAGGATTGAGAGGAATCACTGAGAGGAAGTATTTCTAATGAACTTGAGAATTTGCAGTTCTAACAAATTTCATGGTGATGCTGATATTGCTGGTATGGGAACCACATTCTGAGAACCACGGTTTAGACCAATTCATTTTACTGATGAGGAAGCCTGGCAATGTATTCAGTTTATCAAAGCATTTGTTTAGAAGTGCAGTTACTTAGTAGAACAGGGCTTTTTTTTTTTTTTTTTGCAACTCAGATTTCCCAGGAACTTGATGTTTTTGAAATAGAGAAAACTTATAATAAAATTAAAATTACAATAAAATTAAAACATTTCTTTAAGTTCTTAATCTAGAGCTCTTTGGTGCCCAGCTTATTATTTGAAGCAGAAGAATGTGATATGTATTTGCCATCTTAGGGACGTGTTAATGGACTGAAAACAGCTGAGCTTGCCTAGTCTCCCCACACACTGTCTATATTTCTCCATTGAGGAAAAAAATTACTATGTGGAAGGCACTTGTGATGCATGAGTATTTTTTGTGTAGAAGTCATCATACCCTGACCAGTTAGAGTAGATCAGTGGTTCTAAACTCTGTTTAATCTAGTCTCTTTTCATAGATATTTTGCTATGACTTTGCTTCCCTAAAAGGAAATACACAGATGATGTACCCGAAGTAACATTTCAAAAAGTCAGTTTAATTTCCTAACTACACAATGAAAAGTAAAAGGATGTTCATTTATAATACAAAATAATATGTAAATGTTAGGCACATTTTAAAAAAAGCATGTATCCATGTTGGTACCATTTGTCAATTAGCATGTGTCATGTGTTTGTACTGATACCATAAAAATAAAAACTAAAAATATAGGCAGAGGCCTTTTTTGGCAACTCAGATACCCCAAGGACTTGATATAATAAAATTATTAAAACAAATTACACACCCAAAATATACTCCATAATTGCATTTATGGTAAACACTGGGTAAATACATATGTATTTATGCTCTTGCTCGATCTTTCTCCCCCCCCACAGTGCAAACAGCTAGGTGTCATCATGATCATCTGCTATAATTCCAGACCTCTGGGAGGCTGAGGCAGGAGGTTCACAAATTCAAGCCTAGCCTGTGGAGTTTAGGAACCTAGCAAGACTGTCTGGAGATAAAGTACATATTTTTAAGAAGGGCTGGGGACATAGCTCAGTATGCAGGATCTGAGTTCAGTCCCCAGTACTACAAAAAAAAAAATGTGCAAAGAACCATTGTGTTTACAAGTAAAATACATTGAGTTGCTGATTTCAGATAAGTATAAGCAGATACTCATTTGTGTGAATGTTTACAAAAGCATTTGAAAGTTCTGCAACACACAGGATAATTCATGATTTTGTAGGACTGTCTCATACATTTCAGGACATATGTCCCTGGTAACTTCTCATTCAGTGCTAGCTCTGCTCTCTGTTACAGCTGAAGTAGCATACCTACACATATATCCAACACCCAGGGACTAAAATATACTGCCTCCCGTTAGAGGAGGTCTGTGGGTAAGTGGCATTATTTTCTTGTATTACAGAAGAGCTTCCTGCCATGGCTTTGGTAATCATTGAGAGGAAGTATTTCTAATGAACTAACTTTTCTGTCACTGAAAGATGAAGTATACTAATAGACCCCTTCTTATTTTCAACTGTATTGTTGAATGATAGGCACTATCTGCTTTTGTAGCTTTTTTCTTGTGAGGGCAGAATGAAGTAAGTTCAGCCACTGTTGTTTTCTTTTCCACTGAACTGATTTGTGTCTTTCTTTCTTGACCTTTATCTTACAGGAGGAATGCAATCTCAGCTTGGAATGCCAGGAAGTGGACCAGTGTCCATAGAACGTGGACAAGGTAAAGAAAAATTAATGTCTGATTAATGAGTACTGGACTTGGAAATGTTCCACACCTACATTCTCTAATACGACAGCCATAACTACCAGTGACTATATAGATATTAATTGAAGTTGAATTGAATTAAGTAAAATTTAAAACTCAGTTATTTCATCACATTTACTGTAAGTGCTCAATAGCTACATGTGACTAGTGGATGCCACACTGGTTAGACAGATGTAGAGCATTTCCATCATTGCACACATTTCTGTTGTACAGTGCTAGTCTAAATTTTCCATTTAGTCATTCAGGCCAAGCTCTACAAGAATTGATAAAACAAATGGACTCTTTGTTTCTTCATAGTCTAATGACTGATTGGCATGTTCTTTGTCCCTCTGTATTACCTATTGACTGAGTATGGGATTTTAATAGCAAGCATATAATATGTGCATGGGTGTTAGAAGACTAGATTTAAATCCAAAAGCACACAGGGAGGGGAGTCAAAAATCTGGTAAGCCTACTTGAGAAGTGTCTGTTGTATAGTGCCAAATGCTATATGTAATGAAGCAACCACTCTGAAGTCTCCATGTTACTTCTCTGTGCTACGGAATGCAATAGTTGAAAATTGAGGAGCAAAGAGAAAAAAGGGATGGAACCAAATGCATACTGTCTCCCAGGCATGTTAGTGTTCATAAATAACTTTGGGAGGTAGGTGGCAGCACCTCAGCTTCACACAAAAGAAATAGAAGCTTAGAATTTTAAGTTACTCAGGGGGATAAGGTAAGTAAATACTGTTATATAAGTATTAAGAAGTGAATTTGGTAACTTTTTCAGCTAGAAAGTGGCAGACCTAAGACTGAGAAGTCTCTGACTCCAAAATATATCCCTTGTGTTTCTCTGCATTGCTTCTTTTAATATGTTCCCACTGGCTTGTTCCACTACTGGTACAAATGGGTTTTGTTACATTTATCAGTCTTTTTACTAATAAAATTGATAAAAACTGCCCTATGGAGTAGTCATGCATGTATCACCAGTGATTCAAGCTACCTGGCCAAAGTACATAAGTTACGGTCCTATAATGAACATATTAACTTCCAAAAATACTCTTCAATGTATTTTTCTCTAATTCATTGGGTCCCTTTGTTGGGAAAAGATTACTTTCTGTAGAGAAACTTAAGTCTTTTCTTATTAAGCATATGACCTATGAGTGAAACCCGTTTAAGAAGCAAAATATAAACATACTGACCAGTGATTTGTACACTGAGATTAACGGTTGAAATGATAGAATATTTTTTTTCATTGAATGTCTGAGAGCAGGACAAACTCCCGACCAAATACCTCATGTTTTCTCTAACCACTCCATACTTTTGTGCTGTTTTGTGCTTCCACCCCATCTATGTCAGTAGATAGTGTATGGACCCCAGTGTACACTTGCTGTGGTGAGAAGGGACTAGGACTTTACTCAATGCATCAATCAAACATTGGTTGTTTAACACATATTTCCACAAGACATCTTTCTGTTGTAGTTACCTTCACTTGTATGGTAAAAAAATTAAGGAAATGTCTTACTTTTTGAAAGTATTTTCAAGGCTATCTTCATGAGGAGACAAAATAAGATTAGTTTTCTTCATGGTTTCCTTTTGTACTTAATAAAAGAAGCAAAATTCTTTATTTGTGCCCTCTTGTGTCTTTAGCACATTTAAAATGGTGAAAGGAGGGCCCCGGGAGAAAGCTCAGAATAAATGCTTGCCTGACAAGCACATTGTCCTGAGTTCAATCCCCAGTACCACCAAAAAAATAAAAAAATAAAAAATAAAATGGTGAAAGGAGACAGTTTAAGATACTTTTTGCTTTCCTACCACCTTTGTTTATTGTTGGTGCCTTTGTCATCTCATTACTCCTTGCTGCTGTCGTGTTTGTTTATTATCATCAACTTGCTGTGGCAGGTGATTTTGTGTAAAGTGATACTGTCTGTTAATCTAAAGTTTATTTGCTACATTTACTGTCTTACTACTTTTTTTTTCTCTTTTGCAGAGCTGGGGATTGAACTTAGGACCTTGCGCTTGCCAGGCGAGGGCTTATTCTATTGAGCTATCTCCCCAGCCCCTTTCTACTTTTTTGGTAGCAGAAATATTTGTGCTTTAAAACACGACACAGATAGTACTGCCCCACATCTATTAATGCCTCTCCAGAATAAATCTCCTATTCTAGATTCAATGCAGGTGCTTTCTTGTTTTGCTCCTGAAAATGTTTGTTTGTTGATTTATTTATTTTCACTAGAGCGTCAAAGCCAACCCTTCAATATTGTTTCTTTTCTTTTGTAATGATATTCTAGGGAGATTTAGGGGAAAGTGTATCAGTAACAGAGAGAAAAATTGAAAAGTTATTCCTACCCAGATAAACCAGTGGCCTGCAGTTTCGCTTTAGGAAGCTCTCTGCTCAGTGGCACCATTTCAGATACCCATAAGAGCTAATATAGCTTAGGAAGACTTTGTAGCTGGAAACAAGCTAATGAATTCTTGGCATTTTAACTTAAATGCATAAATCTCCAGTCTCCATACCTATATGTTTCTCTGTGTGTGCATACCTCTGTGTGTGTGTGTGTGTGTGTGCGTGTGTGTGTGTGTGTGTGTGTGTGTGAGCTATTTTAAGTGTCTACTCTTTCTCCTTTTAAACTTAATGCTCACCTAGGAACCCTACAACACTCGCCAGTGGGACCCGCCGGGCCTGCATCAATTGAGCGAGTTCAAGGTACCCATTGTATCTGCGGGTTTCCTTTTGCTTGTGGTGTTCAGGGTGGGACGTTGAGAGGAAGAGAGCTGCTTGGCAGTCATCCTCACGTTCAGAACCCAAAGGGGTAGTGTTTTTGGGTTTTTTTTTTGTTTTTGTTTTTACCTGTTGAGGCCACAAGCCTAAGATTGACCTCTTCACACAGGGCAGAGAACATGGATGATATGGGCATCTGTCCGAGGCTGTACTCCCTCCCTACTGGTGTCAGGAGGCTTGGATGGAATAGCAGTCTGTAAGGAGACAGCGGGTTCTTGCAGAGCCATGGCAGTATTCACATATGCCAAGACCCTACCACTCTTTTGTGCCTTTGGTCCTTGAACTAAGATTGAGTAGAAGGCCAGGAACATAAGTTTCTGCAGGTGGCAATGCTAGTCCTTGGCAGGTTGCTCCCCAGTTTGCTCTTTAAAAAATTCCATCCATACCTCTGACATGGCACAGATTCTGCCTACACCCTGCTTCTGTTCTTGAGCTGCAAGAGGATTCTTCTGTGGTGAGGTTTCACCCACTCTAAGGTGTCTGAATTATATTGTCAGTGGTATATAGAGTCATTTCTTGTTTCCTTATGTGTCCTTCACAGCAGTAACTCCCTGTTTGTTTTCCTGTCAGTGCCGATGCAAGACCCTAGAGCCGCTATGCAGCGGGGCTCCTTGCCTGCCAATGTCCCAACTCCTCGAGGTCTGTTAGGAGATGCTCCAAATGACCCACGGGGAGGCACTTTACTCACTGTAACTGGAGAAGTAGAGCCTAGGTAAGCACCAGCATGGAGAAAACTGTTTGAGAGGTCAAGATTTTTCCTTGTTGGGAGAACAAAGTCTTTCCTGTTTGCGTACCTCAAAGGTAAATATTCACGGTCACTGTCCAAGACTAAGCACTTCTAAGGCAGAACTATATAGTTTAATTCATCATTTTAAACTAACTATGACTTCTACATTTTCAGAAATTAAAAATTCTAGTATATGTATCTGGACAAAGAACGTAGTAGTGGTAATATTAATAGCAATACTAACAATAGTTGACATTAATGGGAATTTATATCTCTGACTTAACTTCAAGCACTGTACCGAAATCATCACATTTAAATCTGTTCAACCTAAATTGGCCATGTAGCTCAGTGCTGGAATGTTTTGCCTGCCAGGGCCCTGAGTTTAGTCCCCAGCCCTATGAGCAGTTAATAAAGAAATCCACATAGCCCCCAAAGGTGGATGTTATTAATCTCATTTAACAAATGGAGAAGCCAAGTCATGGAGAAAAATGGTATTGAACCCAAAATTATGCATCATCTGATAACACAGAGCCTAGCTTTGACCCATTCAGTTTGAATCCAGATCCTGTAAGTACAAGTTTGCGTACTTATACATTTCAAAAATTTCCACTAATTCCTCCCTAATTATAAGTTCTCCAACCAAATTGGAAATTCTAGACTATGTGGATTTATGTCACTGTAGCTTTTCTTTGATCCATTTATTGAGTAATTTCTACATCAGTTCTTTGTTTACTTACTGATCTTATAGTTGTTTCTTTATTGTTATTGTTCGCCCTGTTTTAAACATAACATTTTTCTCCATCTCTAGAGGTTACCTGGGACCACCTCATCAGGGTCCACCTATGCACCATGTTCCTGGCCATGAAGGCCGTGGACCACCCCCACATGAAATGAGGGGAGCGCCTTTAGCTGAGCCCAGACCTTTAATGGCAGAACCAAGAGGACCTATGCTAGATCAAAGGGGTCCACCCATGGATGGCAGAGGTAGGGGAAGACCACATTGTGAGGCTAATTTGTAGTTGGTAGATAATAAAAAAGTCAGCTGTTATTATCTTTAATGTGGAATAAGACCTGCTGGGGAAATACGGTTGGTAAGCATGATTAAGGTTTACCTGCAAATCGTATATAGTTGAACAGAGATATGACTAGAAGAATAGATACCTATCTGTCTTGAATTGTTCATTCTCACAATACAGGTGAGTAGCTTCATGGTGGTTTTCTTACAATGTTATAGGTGGAAGAGATCCACGGGGAATAGATGCACGAGGGATGGAGGCCAGAGCTATAGAGGCAAGAGGTTTAGATGCCAGAGGAATGGATGCCCGTGCGATGGAAGCTCGTGCTATGGAAGCCCGCACCATGGAGGCCCGCGCCATGGAGGCCCGTGCCATGGAAGTCCGAGGGATGGAGGCCAGAGGCATGGATACCAGGGGCCCAGTGCCAGGCCCTAGAGGACCTATACCTAGTGGAATCCAGGGCCCCAGTCCAATTAACATTGGAGCAGTTGGCCCCCAAGGATCTAGACAGGTATGTAACATCTTGAGCTATTTAGAATGCTTAGTGAGTGTGATTATTTCTGCCTTCTGACTAGAACTATTTCTCAGACTAGGATCTCCCTTTTTATATCGCTCAGCAGGGCAGGATTGTAATCTGAAAGAACAACCTTAGTCTACAGTTTTGCTAACTATTTCATTTAAAGTAGAGCCCTTGAAAATTTAGAGATCACAGTACTCTTCATTGGGGTACAACCAACATCACCTATAAGATGTCTTCCAAAATATACTTGCCAGAATCTCAGCCTGACTCTCAGCAGCACTATCAAGATCTAGGCATGGGTTTGAAAGAAAATCTCTCAAACTGTTTTATATGTGCGACCCAAAGAACCACTGACTTAGAATATCTGACAAGCAGTGGTCACTTAGATAATCGTAGGTTTGCAGAAACTAGTATTAATCTGTTGTCATCATAAAACTTTACTAAACATTAAAATAATGAACAACTGAAGTTGTAAATAATGAAATATATACAAGTGAAGTCTGTCTCTTCTCTCTTCATTTACCTCTCTCCATTTGTTGTATATATGGTACTTAGTGGTTGCCATCTCTTCTTTCATCCCATTTGATTATGGGGAGTGCTATCTTCCTTGAGTTTTTATGTGATACTTTCATTTCCCTGTAGTATGTGCACTTTCTTTTTCCTCCTTTCTGTACTTCTCTCCCCTCTTTGATATGTTTGTGCGTCTTCCTTCATGTGTTGCAGCAGGTGAGAGAGAAAGAATGTTAGAGCTGAAATGGAACATGTGGATCATATTTCAGTCATCCGGTCCCCTAATTTTATAGGTTTGGAACCTGAGGCCCAGAAACTCAAATGACCAAATTCGTATAACTTGAAAGTGCCAGAGCAAGGACTAGAGCCTACTGGTATTTTTCTGTTGTACTCCTCTGTCCTAATACCTGCACATGTGTGTGCATGGATGTGTGGGTGTCTACCTATTCATTTTTAATTTAAAATGAACATACATTTTTTTTTCCTGGAATGTACAGGCTGTTTGTCAAGTTTTGCTTTAAAAAAACAATGTGCTTGTGGGCTTTGATTCTTACTATGCAATCTAAGTTCAATAGACTCAAAATAAAATTTTTTATGCATCCATTCAGGAATTATGTACTGATTGCCCACTATTTACCAGAGATAGATCTAGATATTGAATATACAACATTGGCAACAACAAAGTCCCTGCTCCTGTGGAGTTTATGTACTAGCCAGAGAGAGACACAAGAGATAACTACATAATGTACTTACGTAATTCTGTAGAGAAAGAAATTGAAAGTCATGCTTAGAAGACCATTTCTGAGTAGTGTCTTGTTCTGTTTTCTATAGTATTTGTACTTGTTACTCTATGATAACTAGGGTTTTTGGTTCTTTGGAGCTCTGAGGTTTGAACCTCAGATCTCATACCACTGAATTGTAATTCCCTATGCAATCTTTTTTTTTTTATTTTTTTTTTATTTTATTTATTTGAGAGAGAGAGAGAGAGAGAGAGAGAGAGAGAGAGAGAGAGAGAGAGAGAGAGTGGTGTGTGTGTGTGGCCAGCTCAGCCCACCAGGGGGCGCGACTGGCTGGCATGTGGTGCTGGGGGATTGAACCGCGGTCCCTGATGCTTTGCGAAGCTTGTTCTAAGTAGGTGCTTTAGACCACTGAGCCATCTCTCCAGCCCCTCCCTATGCAATCTTGTTTTTACTAATAATCTATTAAGCCAGTTAGATCTAAGGAAATAAAAATTTTATCTTCAAACCTTTTAAAATATTTTTAAATTAGTATGTGCACTTAGAAGTGCATATAATACTCACTAGTCTATAAATAAAGTACACATTAAGAAACTCAGTTCCTCTCTTCTACCTTCTCACTTTTGATAGATTTTTTCCATCTTTCACAGTTAAACACTTAGTCTTTTTACATAATAATGTGTCCATAATTTATCATTTGAAATAAAACTTTTAAAATTTAACTACATTCCATCCAGTTAGAAACTTCTGAATAAAGTTTATTACTATTAGAATGACTATGTAAATTTGTCATCCACAGAAAGGCTTTTTCTTTGAGGCATGGTCTTTGTAATTCAGGCTGGCATATGCCATGATGCCTGGCTAGAATGCATATTTCAAAGTAAAATACTGCTGTTAGTAATTTACTCTGAGGCAAAGCATAAACTGAGATTGTCTTGGGAAAACCAAAATGTATGGTCACTCTTGATAGTACTTACTTGCCTAGAACAGATATTTCTATAAATTTAGAATAGCCATTAGTGAGTGGTTATTTCACATGACAGTACATTGAGTTAGAATTAATAAGTATTAGTAAGTTTTGAAAAGATTAAGCTCATAGATGTATCAGATTCATAACAAATCATTAAGGTTCAAACAAGTCTCTAGATTTAGTATTGATAAAGAACAAAACAGTGATAACCTTCAGTCTTCACAAAACTATACTAATGCTTCATTTACCCATTGTTGATGAAATGGGTTAATGCATATAAGTGAAATATTCCATATATTAGAACTATTTACCAGATTGTAAAAATTTAGCAAATAATTATTTATAAGGTATATTTTATTCTATTTTTGAATAAGCCATAAACAGGATAATCATTTTTGATTACCCAAGGTCATGATTAGGGAGATCCGTTATTGTATATGCTGCAGTATAAAGCATAGTTGCCTCTTGTATGGTTTTTAGGTCTTTTACTGTCAAGCTATCACCTGGCTTTTCACATTTCTGTCATAATACCTGCTCCTGGGGCTGGGGAGATAGCTCAGTAGAATAAGGGCTTGCCTGGCAAGCACAAGAGCCTGAGTTCAATCCCCAGTTCTGTCAAAAAAAAAATCTGCTCCTAAGAGTTTATCTGTATTTTATGTTTTACTTCTGATGCTGGGGACGTAGGTATCAAATTTGTTAACAAGTTGTGTTTAATAAGAGTACCTAATCTCTGGGTGAATACCTAAGTGTGAACATAGGTCTGGTGTAAGGGTACATCTAGCCATTACAGTAGGTGCTCAGGGTGTTTTCTTATTAAACACAACTTGTCTTCTGAAGGGTTGGACTCCCTAAAGAGCCTGAATTCCCATAAGAATGATATTGCACCTAATTCTTTAACTTGGGTCAGTCATATTTCTTTTTTTTTTTAAATGTATTTAGTATAGGCTCTACAAGGTCTTACTACACATATTGAACTCGTAGAGATCCTCTTGTTTTCAGCCTCCCAATTTCTGAGATTATAGGCGTGCACCACCACGCCCAATCTCAATTGCTATCTCAGCATGCCCCAGGGGCGGGGCCGGCACAGCAGGCCTGGGGATCGAACCCCCAGTCCCTGCATCTACCTAAACAGGCGCTTTAATCTACTGAGCTGTCTGGCCAGCACAGTCGTTATTTCTTTAATTGGGCAAGAATCATCTGCTTTATATTTTCCAAGGAAAACTATAAAAGCAAATATAAGTTGAATAGCCGTTTTGTCATGGGAGGTTTCTCATTTCCTTTCTGACTCTTGACATGGGAATCTGTTGGTTTTCTTTTTTTTTGTTGTTGTTGGTTTTCATTTCTGTTTCCACGTCATACTAATTTCCAGGGTACTGTCAGCTTTTCCTATGCTTATTTGGCTGAATTTTGTTTCATTCGATGGTACCCAATTGTGCTGTGTGACTTTTGTTGTAATGGAGCTATGAAAATAACTGTCTAATTTGCTGGTTGATCTCTGGCTAAACTCTGCCTTTTGTCATTGTTAACAGTAGAAAGGAATCTTCAGATTCATTAATTTTCTGTTTTTCTCGTGTTCATATAGAGATAATTTCTCACGTTGGCATTATTTTGTTCAGGTTGCCTGTGCATCAGAGCTCTGAAAAATGTCTTTTTTGTGTACATAGGTCCCAGTCATGCAGGGAACAGGCATACAAGGACCAAGCATGCAGGGTGGAAGCCAGCCTGGTGGATTTAGTCCTGGGCAGAACCAGGTCACACCACAGGATCATGAGAAGGTAAGCAACACTGACAGACTGCCTCCGTATTCACAACTCTAGCCTTTTTGATTCCTCTTTTCGCAGTTACCATGCGGCGATCCTGGGTCTTCAAAGTCCCTTTGGAGGTGATGTTTACTCTTAGAACTTTTTATGATCTTATTGCCTGAAAACTTGTGGACCTGGTCATAAAGTTCTTAAGTCACTGTACATGGCAGCTTATCTTACATTTCAGACTCATCTAACAATAGAAGATTTTTTTTGTGCAGACAAGATTGACCTGAAAATACAACCCTCTTATTTCCTCCCCTTTCCACCTTATACATAAGAAAAATAGTCTATTTCCCATATCTTTCTGTCGTGATATTTGGCCATGGGGGGAAGCCGATATTGATGGAAAAGCTAACATTTGTGAAAAGGAAAGACGTTCAGAACAAGACTAAAAACTGAAGATTCCCAGGGCTCACAGATATCATCTTAGTCTGCAGGAACTTTGTGTTGATCAAGTTGTCTGTTTTGAATTGCCTGACTTTAGGTATTTAATTTGTACTTGTTCTTTTTATTGTGCCTTTTTCTCATCTAAATATTTTCTCTTTCTCTTTTTGGCCTGCTGTTTGTTTTCTTTATGTGAAGTGTCATTCCTTTTCCATTTTGCTTTATGTCCCAGAACGGTAGCTTTCGAACAGAAGCTGGTATTTTTCTTTTTTTTTAGCTGCCGTTGTTGAAACTTACTACCTTCTTTTCCTCTGCACAGGCTGCTTTGATTATGCAGGTCCTTCAACTGACTGCAGATCAGATTGCCATGCTGCCTCCTGAGCAAAGACAGAGTATCCTAATCTTAAAGGAACAAATACAGAAGTCCACTGGAGCACCTTGAAAGGTGAGCGAACTTCATCCTACGTGAGCAGGACTAACCCCTTGTATTTGGTATATGCACTTTAAACCAAAAACATTGTTCTTTCCAAAGTCCTCAGTCTTCTTAACTGGATTCTCTTTACTCTCAGCAGTCAGCACCTCAGATGATAGGGTAAGGCAATAAAACATTTGTTTAGTTGTTGAATTGCTTATCATCTTTTTTAACCTTTCTGAAGGAGTATATAATACATGATCAGTTTAATAAAATTGATCAGATACTGCACTGTAGAAAATTAAAGATAGAAAGCCCTACTTCTCTGATCTCATTCTCCATTAGAATCCATAGTTTAGCATGTTATCTTCCCAAAGTCAATTGTATTGTTTTATTCCAAACTGTCTAATCAAAATGGAACACCACAGAAGATTTCAGTAAAACATATATTTTAGTTGCCAGTACTTGTTTACTAGTGACTATATTGGTGTTAAGCTATTACAGCATGTTTAAGATAGTAAATATCCACCATCACATCAGTTTCTACATTTTGGAGATTGCTGTACACTGCCACTCTTGTTTTTCTTACTTATCAGTCAAGTAAAAAAGATTCAGGTAAACTGCATCATAAAAGTAATCATGTGACCTAACTTGATATATATTGTTACTTCTTTTAAAGAATTTTTCCCTCAACATTGTAGTCTTAAACAATTGTTTTCCAGAAACACTTTAAAATTCATATTGACCCGATATCTGTTGGAATATCTCCTTTTTATTCTATCCATGTTATAATTTCCATCCATACAGTATCATATAATAGTGAACTCAGTAATGAACAGTCTTATTAAATATATTTTAACCCATATTTGTAATGTCTTTAACACATCCACATTGCAAATTATATCATCGTTTTTGGACTTTAATTGGCTGAATTATAATTGGAAGGTACCATAGATGGATGGCTATGAACTAAACTTTTGATATGACAAGTACTTTTGACTCTTTTCTGGATTCCGCCAATAATGCATTTATCAGTAAAAACTTGGACTGTGTATTATATTCAGAGGAATTTACTTATGCCAGAGGAGACATTCTCTGTAATGAGAGAGTTTCTGTTTTTAAATAGTTCAGACAGAGGTACTTCTGAAAATTCTTTCATTATTCTTGTTTATCAGAATTTAAAGCATTGTGCATTTATCAGAGGGCAGGGTTTTTGCTTGTTCTTTACCTTTGGAAATAATAATACATTCACAGGAAGCTGAAAAATAGTACAGAGAGTCTCATGCCCCCTTAAGCCAGCTTCCCCCAACAATAACATCTTTTTACTTTATAGTATAAAACCAAGAAACTGACATTGGTGGTGTACTCAGTTTTGGTCACTTTTTAAAACCCACAGTAATTTATGCCTGCATGCGAGACTACAACTGCAATTTTATGTGGACAATATTTCACTATATCTGCTGGTGTTTGTACACACTGCGGTTGAAGCATTGGGTCTCCCTCTTATATCTACCTAGCTGTAGTCCCTCTCTGCCATCACTGATAGGATTCTTTATGATTACCATTAGAGATAAGTATTTCTCAGCCAGGGTCAGCTTTGCCCCATAAGGGACATTTGACCCTGTCCAGAGACATTTTTGGTTGCACAACTCTAGGGAATATCATATGTCACTGACATTTAGTGTGTGCAGATTTATTGGCAATATTACCAAACATGTATGAAGTGTAGGATATTCACCTCTCACCCATATCAAATAGTGCTCCAACTCAAAATGTTAGTATAATGCTGTGGTTGAGAAACTTTGTTACAAAGGATAATTGCATTAGGGAGGCAGGAGACAGACTCTTAAAAATTGTCCAGCAATTTGATCTTATGCGTATCCTCCTTCCCTGGCCTTTTTGTCTTTTTCCTGATGTTTGGGGAAGAGAACTTTGTTTCTGCTTCTAATAGCTTTTCCCCTACTTTTTCTTACAGGTTTTCAAAAATACTAAGCAACAATTCTGGAAATTAATTCCATAACATTGAGGAAATGTTGAAAATAGTTGACTTCTGCATCCTAACCCTTGAATGACTCAAATTGGTGCCAGGTGGAGGACTCATCACCTTCTCACGGAACAAAATCAGTTCCTTTCATTGTTTTAGTTTGTATATTTTCTGTGACCTGAAATAAACTTTGAACACAATTTTAGTATACTGCAAATTGCTATACACGACCTTTTTGGTTTGAAAAAGCTGAACTCCCAAGAGTGAAACCTTCAGTGTATTTTCTACCCTTACTGCGGTATTGTACTTTAATGTTATATTGCCATCGCACTGTGTTTACTGTAGGTTAACCATTTATTCCTCCTCATAATAATTTTGAGAATTTCTCAGTAGCAATGTTTGCTGGAACTTGGTCTTTGTTTAGTTTGCTTTCAGCAAGAATAATAGCGCTTTATCCTTTGGAAACTTCTAGACTATCTGAGTCTTCTGGGAGAGAATAGGATGTGCTTGGAGCTATAAAGTGATCAGAAATCCAATAAAACAAAGCACCTACCACAGCACTGTGTTTAATTTAGAAAAATCCAAATATCAAAGTGTATTTTTTGTCAGTATCAACTCCATACATAGCTCACAGTTAAGACAGATTGTTGGCACTGATTTGAGTGTGTCAGCAACACACGTGACTGTTGACATGATATTTTACTTGTCCTAAAACTCCTCATTCTAAGTAATCAACTTTAAAATGCCACTAGTTATTTTCATGTTCCAGATGAAGTAAAAACTCAACAGAAATCAAATGAACAAAATACATTTAATCCTATTCTCCAAAAAAATCATTAACTTATAGCTGTCTACCCTATAGCCAAGTTTATTCTTGGAACTTAAAAATAGAAAAGCCTAAAACTTCACATTCTTCTCAGTTACTGTAAGAGGATCATATGTAGTGCCAAAGCAGTCAGGTTGCCCTTTACGTCTGCCCTGCCTGCTTCCTTGGAGATAGTTATTAGTGCCACTAACTCATACCTATGGCTCTCTTTGCCTGGTATTCTCATAGTGGCATTAAGCAGTAACACGTTTTCTCTCCATCAGGCTGACCTCAAGACTTTTAGAATTGCCTTAATAGTAAAGTTCTACTAGAACTATCTTTGAGCCTATTTATATCATCAGAATCTCATCCTTGGGTTAGGATTATGGTCAGGTGACTTAAAAGCCTAGCATAGGCTCAAAGAATGTAATAGCATATTGCTTACATGTCAGGCAAAACCGTGCAAAGATAATCAACTTGTTGAGAGAGATTCAAACTGAGGATTTCTACTCTAGTATGTGAACATTTACATAAAAATTTGTTGGATATTGTATTACAACCTAGCAAGTCAAGATAGCTAAGAAGTATTCTGGGTATCTTCACCCCTAATTCACCTTGGATGCTAATTATGCAGTTTGTTTTTATTACCTTTTCTGCCTACTTCCATGAGTATTCAGTCCTTGTTCTTTTGATTTTGGCAGCTGTCATATCAAGTAACATATTTAGACATTGAGATGAAGGAAGAATTTCTTGTTATGAGATGACAGGTTTCAAAGATCTCGGATTACAAAACAAGTTCAATGAAGAAATTATTTGGTAATCAGCTGTCTAGTACCAACCAACCATGTCAAGGTTCCATTGTGTCTTTTCCCAAAGCCTTATTAAGCTTAATTTAAGTAGCTGAAATGTGGGTGAGCAAAATGGCAATAGTATTGGCACCCCAATCTATAATTACAGAAACACTCATCGTATTTTTTTACTGGTTTATTGACCCAGCTACTACATGTTCATACCCTACATATATTGTGTTTCAGTGACTGCAAAAACAATGCAATTAATCCTTCAAACCATGAAGGTCCTAGATAATTAGAAACGATTTGCTCATTCTTGATCACTTAATGGTAGAATAGGTGCTATAGTGTTAATTCAGTAGAAGCATCCTTATATAATGAGTTGAATTGTCTTTGAGCACAATGAAGTGCAAGGGGGGGTTCTTTTCTGAGAGCTTGAGGCTTCTAGTGATTCACTAAAATCTCAGAGATATTACGGTCCAATATACAATGGATAGATGGGAGAAATAAATATTGATAGGACAAAAAGCCTTTTCCTTATGTGATTAGATGAATGCTTCCTTAGGGAATAGGTAGGTAGGAACCAAAAACATCTATCAAAACTGTTAATTATGTTTTACACTACACGTTAAAGAAACCCCTTAATGAAAATAGTAGTAAAGAGCTGCTGCTGGCTCAGTCATCCCATGTGGAGATCAAGTTTTCCCAATTATTTCCAACAATAAATAACATGACTATACTTTTTTATTATAATACAAATTTAATTACAATTAGCATGTTTTAAGATTGCCTTTCTCAATGGGAAGCCCAAGGAAAAGGGACAAAACACTCCTTAAGCAAAGAAAATCTCATTTTTTGACAAAAAGCATAAGTTCGCTGTTCATGCTGGATAAAATGGCTAAGGTTACAGAATGTACCCCACTGATACTATAAGAAGAAGGTTCTTGAAATTTTGTGTTCATTGTTTTATTACTTATGGTTATGTTTTATCACTAATTCAATAAATTTTTATTTTAAAAGTCACCCTACTTAGACATCTTCTGTGAGGGAAGGAGGGAGGGAAGATTATGAACCAAATTGTAGAAATTTAAGTCAACAAAGTTGAATATCGATCCATTTGTGTAACTCAACCTCCAAAGTTCTGCTGTCAAGTTTTGCTACAGCTGTAACTTTCCATATGAATTTCAGATTTTCCCAAGATAGGATCCAAGGGCTTTGTAATTATAATGACTTGTGAAGTTCTTAGGTTGGAGAAGCTCAAGTATAATGAAGTTGAGTGTCATTTGTTTTAAATAATGCTGGAGAGTCAAGGCTTGAGAGGTACAGTGTTACTTTAAATTCACTGCCCAAACCTGATTGGACAAGGAAGCTGTTGAAGACACAAAGAAACAAAGTAGACTACATTTTCCCTGCAGTTCAGAAATTTTCTTGGTTGAAGTAGAATTGAACCTTCCTGGGATCCAGACTGGAATATCGGTGGCAGCATTCACGCAGGTTCTTTGCCAGAGTCCGAGGACCACATAAGAAAACCCCCACCACAGACCTGTGGGAATAGAACAATGGGTAGAAAGCAGAAAAAGCTGGTGACGTTGGTAAGAATGGAGAAGTGGCCTCTGCCCGGCCTCTGCTACTTCTAGCCCTGGATGCAGTTCCAGTCATTGACACCCACCTGTGCTCTTCATAGTTTTTGGTATTTTTGTTGTTGTTTTGCCTTTTCTGTTTATAAGCCCTACATATGCTCTCAGCCGTTGTCACTGTCAGTACTCAGCCTTACCCATCTTATTGAGGAAATGCACACAGAGAAATCCCATGCACTACAGTGATAAACATTAGGCATTGGAACCAATCTGGGTTCAAATCTGAGCTCTGACTTATACAACCTTTGTGACTTTAAGCACGTTCTCTCCATGTGTCAGTGTTCCCCTCTGTAAAAGGGATAATAATAGTACCTGCACCATAGGGTTTTTGAGAATTAAGACATAAAGCAATTAAAAGATACCTGACACGTAGCAAGTCATATAGTGTGAATTTAACTCCACCCCAAATTTTCCCGCACGGAAGAGATGATGTTCTTGCCAAAGCTAATCCAATTATGCTCTGAGTGTCACCACTCTCTTTCCTCCTTTCTTTTTTCTAATTATGATACAATTGACAACCATAAAATTCACCCTTTGGTAGTATACATTTAGTGCTTATTAGAGCCACAAAGTTGTGCAATCATCATTACTTCCCAAACATTTTCATTTCAAAAGAAAAGCCCGTTCACCTTAGTGGTCTCTTCTTTTCCTCCCAGCCATACTCGCTACCCTACATAATCACTGATCTGCTTTCTCTTCATATAGATTTACCTAACTGGTGTCTTTCACTCAGCATAATGTCTTCAAGTTTCATCCATAGAGTGGCACATGTCCATACTTCTTATAGGTGAGTAATATTCCATTAGTAGATACACTGTGTGTGTGGATACTTTTTTCACTTTGGGGCAATTATGAGTAATATTGCTATGTACATTTATGTGTAAATTTCAGCATATATATATATATATATATATATATATATATATGTTTTCATTTCTCATGGGTATATACCAAGGATCGGAATTACTAGATCATATAGCAACAACTATGTCTAACACTTTGACGAGCTGCCAAAGAGTTCTCAAGTGCTGCATTGTTTCACATTCCCACAAACAATATGGTAGGATTTCACATTCTCTATTTTCTCACCAATACATGCTACTACCTTATTATGACCATCGTAATCTTCACTGTTGTTTATATTTATTTTATTTCCATCTACTGGCGCCTGTTCTGTCTATAAAAATGCTCAGATTGTCTTTACGCTAAATGGATATTTCATGACCTTGCCACTTCTTAAAAACCATTGACTATATTTCTCTAATGTTTCTTTGCTTGCTTCTATGACACTACAGTACTTTTGTGCATCCTACCGTCTTCCCTTTTTCCTTTTCTATGTAACCTAAGCATTCTATTTCTTTTCTCTCTCATTCTCTCTCTCCCTTTCTCTCCTTCCCTCTCCCTCTCTTTCTTCTCCATCTCTCCTTATTTTCACTCTCTCTCCCTTTCCCCCCTTCTCTCTCCTAGGTAGTCATGTGTACCCTGAATTTTTACTATGTTGAATTCAGCAGGATAACAGAATCTCTTGCTTATATACTGCTTTCCTATTTACAGGGTATTTTTCATGTATTGCCTCACTTAATCTTGACAATAATGCTGCAAGTGAGTAAGCCAAGCATTTATTTACAAATGTAACCCCAATTTTACAGATGAGAAATGTGAATATCAAAGGGTTTTCTGGCTTGAACTGGAAAGTTTCAATACCAGCATTAGAACACTGGATCATCTAAATCCCAGTCATTAACAGTTCTTAGCACTACCTGCATAAAGGCTTTAATGTCCAGCCACCTGATTCATGGAGAATATCATTCTACTTTGACCTGACTCTATGCATCTCTTATTCTTGTTCCTTTAGGGTAAGAAGCATATACTGTTTCTCTTTCAACCTCCAGTGCTGAGTGCTAAGCTTAAAGAATATAACCAGTAATATGGTGGAATTGAATAGATCTTCACCTGCCAAATTGCTCAAGGACTTCATCTACCGTGATCATCTTCACCTCCTTAATCCTGACCTGGCTGGCTTTGTAAGTCCAGGTTTCCCTCCATGCTTGAAAAAGTGCCTTAAAATCCTCCAGGAAAACTGAGTGCAGTTGATCAGTGAAGTAGGTAATACACTCCAATCCTTATTAAATTATGTCGAGGTCACCAAGACCTCCCCAAAAGTACACTTGAACTGCTCAAGTTCTCTGTTTTGTTTGGTGGTATAGATCAGAAATGAGCCTTTGCCTCACTGTTTGAATGAGGCTTGCTGGAACAGCAAATATCTTCTCACCAATTCCAACCTCAAGATTCTAATTTGCTCAAAACCAGATGATATTTCCTCCCTTTATAAGCAAGAATCTAAGGATGGCACAATTATGTCCTGTCTCAGAGATCTTTCCCCAAGAATGCTGAACATGCTGTGATACATTTCCTAAACTCTAACTCTGCAAACTCAACTAACTAGAGGAGGGTAACTTACTTAGGGTGGGCAGTAGCTATGGTAGAAAATTCATTCTCCCACTTTGGTCTTCCAAAGTAGGTTTTCTCTTTCAAACCTGTCAGGATGTCAGTAGCCTTGTCAAAGTTTAATGCTGCATGTCCAGCCTGAAGTCAGAAAAATAAGAAAAAACAAGTCTTTGAAGCTGCAACTTCCTTCAGCAAATTTTAAATAGGGTGCGGGTGAGGGAAGGTGGAAATCATAAGAAGCAAGTGTTTTTAATCATTATGTGCTTTTTTCTGGCATTCATTCTATATTTAACATAGGAATTAGAGTGTTGTTTGTACTCACAACGTTCCCGTCCCATCCAGTGAGGAAGAGCCGGTAGTTTAGAAAACCCACTTTGCCCAATTCCTCCATCTCTCGTTCCAGCGAAATCAATAGGTCATTGAACCAGGCAAAGGCACCTGTCTCCCTGCAGATCCAGTAGAAATAAATCTAGAATCATCAAAAAGAGACCATATCCTTACTAAGTGCACTTAAAAATATTCACTTCCTGTGATGAGATAGATAGATA